CATTAAGTTTACGTTTTCTTAGTTGAAGAGTTAATTGAGATGAGTTTAGTATCTAAATTTGTTCTCGATACAAAAGTGAATTCATTATGAAAATTCTAAAAACTGATTTTCTTCTTCATCATGTACAATGATTTTCATAGTATTACATAAACTATGATAATTGGTCTCGTGTTGCTTTCTTCATAAGACTGTATCTGGAGTATCCAGTGCGCAGGATAGGGAAGAAACAACACGTATTCCTACCTCGGCGACAGCAAGCATCTATATGATCTATCTATTAATCTCTCTCTTCTCTCTCTCTCTCTCTCCCTCCCTCCCTCTCTTACTCCTCTCTCTCTCTCTTTCTCCCTCTCGGTCTCTCTCTCCAGAGGATGTCATCCATAAAATTTAGTCTGTGTGGCCTAAGTTATACAGAGCTTTATTGAACACCTCGAAGGAACAACAAACAATGGCGGACAAAGGGACCGGCCCACGAGTTGACCTCTAGTAGGGTCATGACCTTTGGGGTCAACTCCACCTGATACCAATATAATGTTAACTCAACATAACAATATAGTGACGTATACATGTACATAGATATGAAAAGAATTCTATGACCACGGTTTGCACTTTGACCTCTTGACCGTGGCTGCGAATCGGAAACAAGGTCAGTTGAGTCCAATATATTGTTGTCTATGGTATAATTAATTTAGAGTAGTAGCTTGATAGTACGAGCATTGATTGGGTACACAACTTATTACATGTTCGCCTTAGTAGCAATGGCGTCGGGAGAGAACCTGATATTGTGATATTTTTAGTAAGCAGGGTTCATAAAAGGAACTAGTATTTGGAATGTAGTCCGCGATTCCTGCATTTGGCCTTCGAATGAGAACATGTGTTTGTGTATGTGTGTGTGTGTGTGTGTGGGGGGGGTGATAGTATTTGACGAGTTCGCAGGATATATTTGTATCGTCAAGGACAGTTGGGTTCAAGGACAGGATGACAAGGATGGCGTGTTCACGGAGGCACAGAAAAAGAGGGTTCGTGACCGGATGTCTCAGGGCCGTATCGATGTGGTATCTGTGTCTGTGATTCCGGACCGACTAAATGAGGCCGGGACCGATGATAAAGATGGCGATAGTATTTGGTACCTCAAAAAAAAAAAAAAAAAAGAAAAGAAAACCGGCTGGTGAAGACATTTTCATGAACGGTTTTGATATCATATTTGGAAACCTTCTCCCAGGCACCCCTGTAATACAAAACCTTTTTTTACCTTTATATTTCATATATCACAATAGAAGGTGAATGGACTTTGAATAAAAAAGATCGCAATAGGTGGTTGACGTTAAGCTAGGATTTAGACATCCGCTGAGGTGTTCAGAGGAAAGGTCTATATGAAAATGAACCGTACCCTATGTTTTATTAAGGCAGCACCTTTAAGCCCACCTGTAAGCCGAACTGATAAATAAATAAGCTCAAGTCACACAATCAGAATCTTTCTATAAGAATAACAACGCCATTTTCACCTGAGTGAAGTGAGGAAAATCGTGTAAAGTGCATTTCCCAAGGGGATCGGTGGCATGTCAGGACTCGAACCCGGGACCTCTTGGTACCGAGTCGAGCACTCTGCCGCTACGCCACACGACCCCATTAAAGAACAAACCTAACACGACAACATCACGTCTGCAGTGTCCGCTCGGTTCGTAACCTCAAAAGTCAATATTTGACACAAACTTAAGAGTCACAAAAGAACCAGGCAACACGATACAAAAAAGGAAGCCGTAAAAGTGTGACACTGTATGTCGGACCCAGGAATCGCCTTCGGTACTAACGGTGAGCTAAACCTATACGTACTAGTAATTTTTAAAATAGTATCTTGTTATGTTTTATTCAACGCTACAGTGTCTTGTTACACTAGCCTGTACATGTACCATATATAAGGCCTAGCTAATCACTAGAACATGTTGGCTTAATAGCTAGAACTGTGCTTAATTACAGTAACTACAGCTGTACAATAAAATCCGTTCTCAGTCTCGGCAGACGAATTCCAGCGTTTGTCAAAGACATGACCTGAAGTTGTGCCGATCGGAACCTGGAAAAAATCATGAGGAAACAATCCACACATTTTTTATGCAAACGTAATCAGGGCTCGAAATTAAAGGTGGTCCAATGGCCACTGACAACTAAAATTTAGACTGGGACAATTAAAAAGACACTTTGGGACATTTTTGGGACAATAGAGAGATAATCAACATCAGAATGTCAGCCCTTCTTTTGTTTATCAGGCACGTCCCGGCTTTTCGATTTAGAAAAGTCCCCCCAAATTTCCTGTCTACACTGCAATTATAGTGCGCCTGGGAGTGAACATAAGCAAAATAAAGTTGACTTTAAGATGAAGCCATACAAAACTTTCCAAAAAACAGGATGGGACAGTTCATCCTCACCTTGGGACAATTGAAATTTCTTTTTGGGACAGTGCTGGGACATTAGGAAGAAAAGTTAATTTCGAGGCCTGATATATAATACGTTACCCATTAAATAAATAAATCCTTTGTGCTACCGTCTGGCACGTATACATATAGACGTGCTGTGTACTTTGGGCGTTGTAAGGGTCCAACTCAGGTGAGGAAATGTTCTTTTAGAAACAGACAACGTAAATGGTAGGCAACGTTTATGTATCTTTAATCGGATCGTTTTGGAATACTGTTAGTATCACAGTTAAATACATGTCGTGTGGCGTAGCGACAGAGTGCTCGATTCGGAATCAAGAGGTCCCGGGTTCGAGTCCTGACACTGATTTTGTGCCCTTGGGAAAGGCACTTTACACGGCTTTCCTCACTTAGCTCAGGTATTGTATTGCCCCCTGTGTTGGTGGCGGCATTAATATAAGTTGAAAAAACTTGAGTGTGCCGTCACCACGTCTTGTGATTACATGTTGGAAAAAAAAATTCATGAAGTTACTAAGTGCTTGCTCTACCAATTTCCGCGATGTCTCCTGAACGAAGCCGGATGTTTTGTGTTTAGTCGACAGACCGCAACAAGCGGTGACGTAAGAGAATTTACGTTAGACCTTTGCATATTTACCTCTGGGCGTTGTTGTAAATGTAGTAGGGAGGCGTCTACTAATTACCTTTACTATACAAGGCCAAAAATTTCCTTGGTGTTACTGCTTGATAAATACGGAATTCTTAGCCTGTTCCCTGGTATGTTCTGTCATTAGTTACTTAGTACGTGGTATGTAGTCAACTGGTTTGTTTACATTTCGCCTAGAAGGTTTTGTTTTCGAAAGCGTTCGTCTGTGTCTGTCTGTGTGTACGTTCCTGTGTAAACACGATAACTCGAGAAGGCTTGGTTGGATTGTCTTTATATTTGGCATGTGGGGAGATCTTGAAATGATTATTTTTTGGGCCCCCTTGTGGCTTTCGATGGTACTGCAGTGGAACTTCTGGGTTTGATATCATCTGGGCAGGCTAGGGTCACAAAATTGTTTTCTTGCGCTTGCAAAGAATGGACGCGAGTTTGGCCCCCCTAGCAGCTTGTTCTGGAACAGCAAGCGAGTTTGTTTCAAACTGTTTGAAGGAGAACAACCCAAGAATTAGTTGACAGATAGCTGAAGCGACGCGTGACATAATTACATAGCAATTTAGAAATTTACTGTGCTAAAACTATCGCGTGACGATTGTGCCCCTGCCCTGTGTATGCGCAGGTGCACACGTGGGGTCATACGTTTGGCATATCGTAACAAAGGCGTGTTTGTTATATATTACCACTTCTCTACAACGTGGGGCTCGATGGGAATTTAGGGTCAGTGGGTCAAGCATTTAAGTAATATCGAACACGAGGGCATTGATGCCTTTTTCAGTAGCCATTCATGTTAATTCCCTCTCTTAATCGTGGCCGGCAACTTTAATTCATGTTTTGTCGGGAAAATATCCGTAAAGCAGCATGTAGCTTTTTATTTGTTATCCTGAATCCATTTTAAGCGTTACTGAAAGATTGTTCGTACGGCGTAGTCGAACACCAGATTGGTAAAAAAGAATTACAACAGAACTTGTGGTGTCCGCGGACTGGTTTTGCCAGACACTCCATGGATACGAAAGAACAATTCAATTAAGTTTTTTCCAAAGCTTTACATAAGAGCAGCCTAATTTACCGTTAAGCGTTGCAAACCATCCTGAATATACGTTTTTAATTTACTTCATGGTTCACTACAAATGTTTTGGGTTACTGTACAGCCAGTGAGGACGGATGTTTGTTGACCTTAGACTTGAAAAGTTTAAGGTTATACCCAAAGCGATGTTGTTCTAGGAAACTTCGGAAGATTTTAGCGTGGAACTTCCTCTTAAGAGTGACAAGTTTACCGTTAAACGTTGCAAACCCTGCTTTATTCCTCGTAAAGCGTCGCCCCCCATGTAGAACCTCGCACATTACAAGGGAGTGACAATTCACGGGGTGGGAGGTCAAAGGGTGGAAGGATTTAATGAACTGCCTTGAAGTTAATCAAATTTGGCTCGGAGCCAACAGCCAAGGATCGCATGGACCAACCTTTAACCCTGAAAAACAGATTGTATCGCCATACAAAGTTCCCGGTTGTTTTCAGAAATACCCAACTGATATCTCCGATTTTCTGACTGTTGTACGAGGGCCTGCATGTGGGGTTGGTGATTACGAATTACGCAAAATTTTCGCCGCCGATTACGAATTACGTTAAAGTCTCAGAGCTGATTACGACTTCACGCTTTGCGGCGAATTACTATAATTACGAGTTACGTTGATTTTTTAGGAGGCTGCCTACGGATTACGAAGAGTAAAAAGACCTGATTACGCCTTACGAAAAAGGGCTTGCAGGCCCTCTTAACACGCCACTTCCACTGAAGCAAATCATCCTTTCTTCCTCCGTTCGCCACCTCTATAATCATTTTAGGTTCTCAGTAACTCAAAATGACGAAACAGTTCTTCCGCAGCTGTTCGTAACTTCTTTAGGGGCGGGATTTAATCAGAAACACATGACTCAGCCTGCCGACTAATAGTGGTCAAAGGTCATATATCCTTACAGAAAGGAACAGCGTGGTTCCTATTGAGACGGGAGACAAGAATCGGCGTAGAATTGACCTGTCTGCGACTTTAGAGGTATTTCCACAGTCTTTAGCTTCGCCAAGAAGGTTATGTTTTCAGGATTTGTGTGTGTGTGTGTGTGTGTGTGTGTGTGTGTGTGTGTGTGACTCTGTGTGTTTGTGAACATGATAACTTGAGAAGGCCTTGATGGATTGTCTTGATATTTGGTAGGTGGGTAGGTCTTGATGAGACCTCAGAATGATTAGATTTTGGGCCCCCTGGCGGCTTGTTTAACACTGTTTTTGTGTAGGATTTCTACCGCAGCTGTTCAGTATTGAAGTAAGAGATGACCTTGAACTGAATAGAATACTTTAGACTGAGACAGGCAAGCTGTTCATGTTTTCGGGAACGTGTGTGTGAGTTTGTGTGTTACTGTGTTGGACTGGTGACGATACGTATAGTTAAGGTATTTATAATTTTGTTAACATAAATTGATATTTCTCTGACTAGCATGTTATTGTTTTATAGCCTCTTTTTTAGGCGTTCCCAGACGGGTTTCTTTTGGGGGGGGGGTATTTTCTGATCAAACTCTTATTTGTTTGTTTTGTTTTGTTTTGTTCAACGACCCAGTTA